GGCAGTGTTCAAGGCCAGGCTGGATGAGGCCTTGTGCAACCTGATCTAGTGAGGAGGTGTCTCTGCCCATGGCAGGGGGTGGGGACTAGATGATCTCTAAGGTCCATTCCAACATCTAAATTCTATGTTTCTGTGACATATCTTAGGTTAAAACATAATAGTTTTGTTGTAAGAACTGCAATGAACTTCAGAGTAAGTTGTGTGATCTCAATGATTTAATGCTACATTGTAAAATGATGGAAGAAAGAATGATATTTCATACAAATCTGTTCCAGTACACATTTCTTTTAAATCTACCTTCTCTGCTGTTGCAGGAATATGAGGCCTTAACCAAACAACCAACTTGCAAACCAGATGTTTGGGTGAATCTTGCCTGTACGTACTTCTTCCTGGGGATGTATACACAAGCAGAACAAGCAGCTTTGAAAGGTGAGATGAATGTCTCCGTTGGAGAGGACTCTGTATTGACCCCAATGCTTACAGTGATTTCCAGAGAAAGTATATAATGATATATTTTCATAGAAATAAGTTACACTTTTGAGCAAAGGTTTTTGGGTTTGAGTTTTTGTTTTGATGGTTGCTTTTTTAACTTTCATTTAACCGGAGAATTATGATGCAGTTTGCTTCCTAAAAATGCCTTGGTCATGTGGAGCCACTGGAACTGAAAGAAGCATCTGGAAAATCATTTTTCTTATCAGTTTCTACGTACAAAACCCAGCATATGCTGGCCAGCAACAAAAAGTTACTTTTGGCTGGTTCTATGTCTCTGAGCCAAGGCAGATGAAGCAAATTAGGCTACTGAAATTATCAAAAAATAAGCATCTGAGAGAAGTCAGCATTCTCCCTGATGTGAACAAGAACTCTTGCTTATGGAGTTTAAGTGACTTAGTAGGTGGTCTTGTTGCCTTATAAGTCAGATGTAAGGTATCTGATTCTTCAAGGCATGGAGTTCACTGCAGTTACATCTTTGCAGTTCTGCTGTAATGTAAACATGCATGGGATCATTTCAAGAGGAGGAATGGAAGTTAGATTCCAAGACAATTTTTACTCCCTAAAAATGCTTCTGCAGTTTAATTTTGTGGCCCATTCCTTTTTTTTTCCTTAGGGATTTATATTGTTTCCCATAACCATAATATCTCAGTGCTTTCTACATAGAATTCATAGTAGTGATATCTCAGTCAGCCTCCGACTCTTGCCTTTTAAAACTCTTACTGAAGTATGGGTTTTCTCCTTTCTTTCATTAGTCTTCTTGTCTCAGGCAGAAAATAGGGTAGGGAAAAAATAATTGTGTAGTTTCTGCCAGTGTGAAGGAGTGCCTTCCACAAGTATAGCTTTGTGCTATTTTATAAATAATTAGATTCTCATATCCTTTTAAAATTCTTGGAAAGATCATGCTGAATTTGAAGGCCACAATTGGAACTGTTTTGTTTCCAGCTGTAAAAAAGTCTCATGCAGAGCTTTGTAATTTGTATTTTTCAACAGGTGTGTAAATTTCCAATATTCGCAAATAATTTAATTTTTAATGCCCCACAAATTTGAGCTTTGGAGATTGCAATCTAGGACTTGAAGTGAAATCTAAAAATAAATCAGCAGTAGAGCTTTAGGTGTTACTGTGACCTAAACCATGGAGGGAGCAAGGAGCTGCATCCTGTCCCAGTTGGAGGAATTACAGTAATGCATTCTAGGGATGATGGGTGCACAGCTGGCCATGCACCTTTATTAACTGTGAGCTGGAAGGGAGGTAAGGTTAGATTGTCATGCCCCTTCAGATTGGTTGATAGTAGCTTGGTGAGTGGCAGGGTAGGAGGGTGGTTAGTGGTGCTCAGGTGCTGGAGGCAAGGGTAGGAATATTAAGAAGGGAGTGCAAGACATAGAGAGTGTAGCTGAGGGAGGGAATAGAAAATAACTGAGTGCTCACATTACTGCTGTCAGTTCCTGATTCTATGTAATTGTTTGAGAAGGACAGCATGCCACTTTTTGTAATGAGATGCTAAACCTTTCTTGTGGGTACTGTAATACTTTCTGGCTATTTAAGCTTGGTGGGGAGGCAGTCACACCTGAAGATTTGCAACACTTGTCCTTTCTCCCTTGAAGGCTTTCAAGTGTGGTATATTCCCCTTTCCACTCCCATCACGTCTGTCTTTTTTATATTGAGTTTAAATTATTTTATTTTTGCTCAAGTCAAATCCTTTTTTAGTTTGCTTTTAACATTTTAGGGTTGCATCAATGATGGCTGTTTGCAAAATATTGGTGACAGCTGAGGCCATATCATCTTGTGGTCTCTTCTATGGTTTTGCAAAGATCCTGAAGAAGCAGAATATTTCCTTTGATATAGACACAACAGATGAAGTCTCTACAAGAACACCATATCCAGTACTGCCGAAAAAATAGGTAGTGCTAATGTTAGGCTGCTTGCCATTGCTATTCGGGATTATTTTGTCTGAATTCTTGCATCCTGCATGCAGTTTATTGCTGCAATTGTGCTAAGCCCCTGAAAGTAGCATAGTGCTAAACCAAATTAAGGATAAAGAATTTAGTTTCAGCTGTAATTCTAAATTTCTACAGTGATAGAATCCCTGCGTGAAAGGGAGCATGAATGTCAGCTGGCTTTCTGGAATAGATTTCCCACACAAACATGTAAATATTCAGAAATCAAATCAAGTTCCTTTCTACCATGCACTGTTGCTGTTGCTTCAGAAAATTATTGTTAACTGTCTAGGAGAAATATGCAGGATACTTGAAAATCAAGAAATTATCGTTAAAAGCCATGGCGTAATTATTGCATTTCATACAAGATAGGTAGTCCACAATCTCTTCTGGAGCCAAGTTTTGCATTTATTTTATAATAGGTGTGAAGTGTTCTCTTAGCTTGTCGTTACTTAATTAAAACTTCATGGTACAGGAAGGACAGGGAGATGATTTGAGACAGCCAGCACAGCTTCACCAAGACCTAACCAACCTGCTGGCCTTCTATGATGGCGTGGCTACATCAGTGTACAAGGGAAGGGCTATGGATGTCATTTATCTGGATTTCTGTAAAGCCTCTGACACTGTCTCCTACAACATCCCTCTCTCTAAGTTGGAGATAGATGGATTTGATGTGTGGCCTGTTAGGTGGATAAGGAATTGGTTGGATAGTTGCTTCTGGAGGATAGTGGTCAATGGCCCAGAGTCCCGATGGACATCAGTGTCATGTGATTTCCCTCAGGGCTCCACACTGGGACCAGTGTTATTTATTGTCTTCATTAATGACATAGATGAAGGCACCAAGTGCAGCCTCAGCAAATTTGCAGATGACACCAAGCTGAGTGATGCAGTTGACACACCTGAAGGACAAGATGCCATCCAGAGGGACCTGGACAAGCTTGAGAAATACGCCCATGGGAATCTCATGAGGTTTAACAAGACCAAGTACTAGGTGCTGCACCTGGGTTGGGGTATCAGTACTGGCTGGGGATGAACAGCTTTGCAGAGAAGGACTTGGGGGTGCAGGTAGATGAGAGGCTGGACACAGGCCAGCAATGTGCACTTAAAGCCCAAAGAGCCAATTGTGTCCAGGGTTGCATCCAAAGCAGCATGGCCAGCAGATTGAGAGAGGTGATTCTGCCCCTTTACTCCACGCTGGTGAGATTCCACCCAGAGCACTGCATCCAGCCCTGAGGTACTGAACACAGGAAGGACAATGACCTGTTGGAGTGAGTCCAGAGGAGACCACCAAGATGGTTAGAGGGATGGAGCACCTCTGCTATGAGGAAAGACTGAGACAATTTCAATCGTTGAGCCTGGAGAAGAGGAGGCTTTGGAGTGACCTAATTACAGCCTTCTCGTACCTAGAGGGGTCCTACAAGAGAGTTGTAGAGGGACTTTTGGCAAGGGCATGTAGTGACAGGACAAGGGGGAATGGCTTCAATCCGAATGAGAATAGGTTTAGATTAGATATAAGGAATAAATTCTTTACTGTGAGGGTGGTGAAGCACTGGAACAGGTTACCCAGAGAAGTTGTGGCTGCCCCATCCCTGGAAGTGTTCATGGCCAGGTTGGATGAGGCTTTGAACAACCTGGTCTGGTGGAGGGTGTCCTTGTCCATGGCAGGGGTGTTGGAACTAGATGATCTTTAAGGTTCCTTCCAACCCAAGCCATTCTGTGATTCCATGATTCTCTCAGGAAAGAATAAATCTGTATATCAAAAGTCATATAAAAAAGGAATTACTGCAAATATAACCTAAGAACTAGAGCAAAAAGCAATAAAGAAAAATCTCTTCTTGAAGGTTTTTCATTACAGTTGTATTTTACCTCCTCTAGGCTTTCTTCCAAATTCCTTTCAAATATTACAGGCTTCTCCTTTTTCCCTGCTGTCCACTTACATTACAGTTACTAATGTTCCTGAATCTGAGGTGAAGGTAGAGTTACTTCCAAGTCAGCTACTGTTGTTTTGTAGTCATCCCATAGCAAAGCTGCCAAGTGATGCTTTATTTAATCCTTTTGCATCTGTGCTCTCATACATTTGCTGAACATGTACTTTCTGTGCTGTGTGGCAGCCCATCCTAGTCTTGAGAGAATGAGACTGAAAGTATTTGTCTTGGTTTAATAAATTACTGGGATTTTTGAAAAAATTATAAAAGCTATTATTCTTACGTTGCATTCACAATTTCTGTGCCTTGCAAAGGCCAAGGAACAGAAACTCCTCCTGGCACACTTGGACTGTGATCCTGGCAACTGATGGGAGTGTTTAGCAGCCTGCACAGTGCTCTCAGAAGCTGTTGGCTTTCATTGCATTAAGAAAGACACAAGATCTAAAAGTGTTCTTTTAAACCACAAAATGTGCATGTAAGTGGGGCTGCAGTGAAGTCCGTTATGAAAAACAGGATAAACAGAAGGATAAATGGAATTTTACCGTTAAATTTAAGATCTGGCAACTGATGGGAGTGTTTAGCAGCCTGCACAGTGCTCTCAGAAGCTGTTGGCTTTCATTGCATTAAGAAAGACACAAGATCTAAAAGTGTTCTTTTAAACCACAAAATGTGCATGTAAGTGGGGCTGCAGTGAAGTCCGTTATGAAAAACAGGATAAACAGAAGGATAAATGGAATTTTACCGTTAAATTTAAGATCCATGCACGAACTGCATTGCTGTAACCGCTCATTAAAGTGTTTTTTTTGTCCCCTCTAATTCCTGATGCTAAAAGCAAACTTTGCTTCTTCACAACTCTGCGTGTGTCAAATCTGAATGTGGTTTAACTGAACAGAGATACTTCTCATTTTACATCCTGTACTGGAATGAGCAACATTGTACAAAAGCAGAACAGAGATGGGTTAAGTACAAACAAGGACATTTTCCAGTTTTGCTTGTGCATGTGGTAATGTTTGCCAAGTGTCAGATAGTTGTCACCAGTGAAAATGTGCAGTTACAATCGGGCATGGAAAAGTTAGTGTTTTTTCTTTTTTTTAGGATTGCATGTTCACTTACATGCAAACTTACCTTCTTGCTACTTGTACTGTATTTCTTGAGAACAGTCATTATTTTCAGTGCATTTTAGCTGTGGTTTCAAACCAGCAGTTTCATATATGGAACTTTCAAAGTGCACAAGTGAAAATATCAGATATTTAAACTTTAAAAACTACTAACCTTATTTTCTTGGTTGTTTTTTGAAAGCATAGTGAAAGCTACAGACCAGGAATAATTGATTCAATGATCTTTAGCTTACTGTGCTTAGGCATGACTGAAATGAGACTGAACGTAGCTGAACTGCCTTTTAAGTATTGCAGGAATGGGAAAATTCCAGTCAGTATCCTCTGTAAATTTCATTCATGAAAATTCTGAACAGTTGGACTATTCAAGTGGGTCTAAGTGTGAACTTCTCTTCTGGACCATGGGTTTTTTCAGACATTTTTCCCATACCCTTGCATTTTCCCTCCAGCAGTGAAACTGTGGTTTTGAGGCACAGAGGGCTTCATTCAGCTACTGTATTCAGGTGAGCAGAGCGTTGTTTCTCAGGGGCAGAAGCTCGAATGTTTCCTCTGGTCGTATTTTCTACTGTCAGGGTGGAGGCTTCTCAACCTTGCTCCATTCCTACCAGCTCCTGCTATGTGTGTTTAAGGGCTCTTCTATGCCTGTTGATGTGTGAAGTGCTGCCATATGCCAATGCATATGCCTTATGTCTGCTGGATGGGATTTGTTAATGCTGGATACATGACCAGCACTGCCTTGCACTCTTATGAGAGGGCACAAACTCCAGATTGTCCATGACTCTGTTATATCATCTTTTTACTGCCACAGGCAGTATAACAGAACCCACCAAGAGTCTGAGCTGCCATTTCTAGTGAGCTTAACTTTTTGTTTAATAACTAGTGAAGGTAACTGTCTTCATTCTTATTGTGGCTGTTTATTATACCTTAGCAAATACTTTGCTAGGTGCCTGTTGTGTCAGCACATAAAAATGTGCAGAACACATTTAAGATCAGTGACAGCTGTGACTTTAGTGCCTGGAACAACAGCACAGATCATGAGAAAAATTCTAGCATAGGAATATCAGTGTGTTTCCTAGATGCGAAGAGATAGATCCTATCCAACTACCTCAGTGCTTCAGCACAGGGCCAATACTAGACCTGGAGCAGGGTACTGTTTGTTGCCATGCAACATTGTCATCATATTTTTCATGATCCCAAGATTGCTTAGTACTGACTTTAAACAAAAATAAATGTGCAGTCATCTTCTTGAAAAAGTAGAACAGGAAAAGACTGTGCTTCATTGTAGCATCAGTAGATCAGTGACAGTGAAATTCAGTTGCAGCAGTAATAAAAGAACAAGTCTAATGTCCCTTAAAAAGCATTATCTCTGATGAGGCAGTTGTATCACTTCTTGCTCCAGTGATTGACAATATCTTTATCCAATATTCATAACCTAATTCTTTCTGGAAACTCATCTGACCTTGTTCACATGTTTCCTTGTCTTCCTCAAAAAAATGCATTTGGCACTGAGAAAAAAGAAACTGCTGATATTGAATGTTTCCATATTTCTGCTTATTATATTGACAGGGCTATATTTGTGTGCTTTTAAGCATCTTATTTTAAAGACTATCAGATAGTGTCATAGAATATCTTACGAAGTAGGACATTTTTTCCTCCCTCCATGCATACCATCAGATTTCATCTTTTGCCTGTTTTTAGGTGTAAATAACATGGGCTAACCCTCTATCTTTTGACAAGAAGTAAATAATAATTTTGATGTCAGACCAGATTCCAGGCTTGCAAGGGCAGCCTGCAGTCATCATTGGTTGACTAGTGAAACAAGAATTCTTTGATTTAGCTTCTTCAGGGAGTATTGCTTGCAAGTTGCAATTTTCACAGTGAAATTAATGCTAAAACCCACTCAAAAGGGATAAAAAATAAAGAAAAAGTAAGCCTACTCTAAAAAGGAGCATTGGTGTCTTTACCCATAGTACTGTGATTATACAAAGTGTTATTTTCAGTGTAAATCCCACAGTCTGTCCTGCTTGTATTTTTGGAGTCTTTGATGGCCAAATGTTTTGAATTGCGAATGGTGATTGTGGTTGAAGTTTTGCACAAAAGCACATGTGGAGTCCATGTGCAGGCATTCTAAACTTTGATATTAAAACCTATCAGTTCATGCTGTGGCACATGTGGAGGGAAGAGCATGCATTGATGTTAAGGTGTTCTCACTTTCTAACTCAGTGGATGAAATATCTGTACTCTCATGTCAGTTACATTGCTACTGCTGCCTATACAATACTGATTTTGTTCTTTAATAATTAGGTTAATGAGAATTTCCACATATGTGCTAGACTGAAGACCACTTAGCTTCCTAACAACTTGATGCTCTGTTAGAAGTATCTTACAAGATGTGGTTTTGTGAGAATGCTTGCATACCTCCTCTGTATTTTGGGACTTCTCTATTCTAGCAGTTCTTTAAAAATACAGTTCACTGTCCTCTTTTTTTCTAAGAACATCATCAAATAACACAGCTTGGAAAGGAGGAAAGAGGAGAAATAATTGCTGTACCTATTGGAAGTACAGTGGGCAGCACTGCCAGTTTGATCAGAATGGCTTGGGGTTTGGCATTGTCCACTGTGTTGCAAACTTTTCTTACTATGTGGAGAATGAGTAAGAAGTGTGGAAATATCTCCCTAAATTGCTTACAAAATAAATTCCATCTTCAGGGGGGTGGTGAGGAAGATGGTTTGGTGGTTTGAGCCCTCTCTCATGGTTTAGGACATCAGAAGAATTATAGCCTTGTGTTACAGGCCATTGCTTTGCTAACTCTGCAGTTTTGTGGCCTTATAAACACAGTAAGTAATTCTGCTTTTTGTAAAGATTCCATGTACACCCTTTTTGTGGGACCTAGGTTGCCAGCTGGTTGGTCTGAGCAAGAATGAGAGTGCTCATTAACTGAGTAGGCTAAAGAAAACTCAGGAAACAAGGGAAGGCTTTTTGGGAGATTGCTTGCAAAAGAAATTAACAGCTCTGTTGGACAAGGACATTTGTCGCTCTCAATGAAGCAAAAGGCTCAGGTGACTTAAAGCTCTGCAGTTAACAATTTGTGTCATATGGAGGGAGTTTAGTGGAATTCCTAATCCTGCTAGAGCAAGAAATTTCAAGAACTTTACTGGCTCTAGAAAGGAGATATCTCCCTTAAATGTCTCACCATATCTTAGTTTGAATCTTATCTGCTCTGACTGCAGGATTCTTTCGTGTGCCTTTTCTTCCTAAGGACAGAAGAAATATTAGAAGTGTAGTAGAATGTGCATACATAACAAAATGGTAGCAGCCCTGGGATTTTTCAATACCCTGGGAGTTGACAAGATTCCTGGAATTATGAATCACAACTTACTTCAAATGTGATATATCATAGAAGGAGCCTTGATCATGTTGCTACTTTTCTTTTTTTTATTTTGAAAACGTTCGATGCTTGTGTGTCATAAAACAAAACAAAAACCAGAGAATTATCCAGAACTCCCTGCAGGAAGATGACAGTGCAATTCATAAAAGTTTTAAGGCTCATGGAAGATAGAGGTCAGTCAAAAAATTCTTTTCAACAGGGATTTCCAAAGAAACGGTGAGGTAATGCAGATAGGAAGGAGAAAGACCTTTAAACCACTATAAAATTGGTAGAACCTGCCCCTAGGCATGACCTGCAAAGGCTCTGAGTGAAGAACTGTACTTGGGCTAGATAATGAAAGAATGTGGGTGTATTCATGTCTGCTGAGAATGAAAGTTAAAAAGAGACTCCCTGAGTTGTTCTTTACAGCAATACTTACTGAATTTTCCTTTCAGCACCCAAGAGTGGTCTCCAAAACCGTTTACTGTTTCACCTGGCACATAAGGTATGATGTCTTCATTTGTTTCTTTTCTTTTCAATTTGGTAGTTGTAATTTATGCTGGCAGCCTGGCAGAATAATTAAAATTCTGTGGTGGCAGAAGAACAAATGTGTTCCGTAACCACCCTACTGCATTACAATGTGGAGGAGAAAGTAAGTGTGAAAACATGACCTCAGCAAATATCTAAGGAAAATCTTACCAATGCACTTCACATAAGTCATACAGCAGGAACCTGATGATATTTTTGATCACAAAGAGTCTGGAACTTAATAGAATCAGAAATGTATAAGCCACTATTTTACCTTTCTGGGTTTTGGTTTTTTTGGGAAAGGTACCAAGTTTTCCTAACCTGCAGTTCTCTTACACTTAGCAATTTGACCAAAATGGTGTATATGCTATTACTGATCCTCATCCAGGGAGTCATATTGTCAATAGGATGAAGTTTGCTCTTAATTTCAACAAGTAAATGCTTATTTCATTTTCCACACATAGCTGTCTTACAATTGGGGTTGTACCATCCTGTGTTGTACTGGACAAGTATTCTGCTACCTAATCATAGGTTTAGATTTATCTAGCCTTTCAAGACACTGAGTTGAAAGAAAGTGTAAATCCTGAATGTTAGCTTTGATGTCAGATTCTCTTTACTTAAATTTCTGCTAAGTTTAACAGAGAAATCTTAAACCATTTTTGTAATGGTGCTGGCACTTACAGATGTCTGTGATGAGCTAAGAATTATTCAGTTTCTCTTTACCTAGTTAGTCATTGGAAATAAAGTGTTTTACAGAACTGTGAAGCCCCTTGCCTTTAGTTCTGTTAAGCAAATTATCTTGCCTTTGAACTGGAGTATCATTTTGTGACTGGCCTAAAGAGGAACAGATTTGAAGAAAACTGAGCAGATAAGTGAAGAAACAAATATATAAGATGAGAATTTGTGTGTAAGAGAAAATCGTAATTACTGTTGAATCAACAAAACCAGCAAAGGGAAGCACTGGAATAAGTGGTTTGAGTTAGACTGATTAGGTAAATAGCCTCAACTTTGCTATTGTAATACAAATAAAATGTGTGCGTTTACCTCTGTTCGTTGTTTTTATCCTTGTGTGTGTGTGTGTTATGTGTTATTCAGCAATGCTCTTAAAAATAAATCATGTAGTTAAAGAACCTGGAATTTTAAGGGGCCAGTGAAAAAGAATTTGATAGTGCTTCTATAAAGTGCTTTTTTAAAGTCTTGTGAAAATTGGGGCTTGTGTGTTGGCAAGTCTTGTATTTTTCAGCTATCCATGAGAAATTAGATTTGGATCTACAACAGCAAAACTCAAACTTTGTGTTGCAAAATTCTGTCTGTGAAATAATTAATTCAGCTCTTTTCCATCGTTTCGATCAAGATATGTGATGTGTGATTTTATCTAAGTCACACCTTAAAGGAAAATGTGCGCTTAGTTTTGGCCTAACATTTATCTAGTTTCAGCTGCTCTGCCTCTTTAATGTTTGGCTTTCTCCACTGGTCAAATTAACTTTACAGTAGCAGAGGTTTTCCAGATGTTTAATATTAATCACCTGCTGTTTGCTAGCAAAGACAAAACTAATCTAGCTAATTAAAACATTTCTCTTGCTGAACTCTTCTGAGAACATGTCACTCTCTTTTCAGTTCAGTGATGAAAAGAAACTGATGAGCTTTCACCAAAATCTGCAAGATACTACAGAAGATCAGCTTAGCTTGGCATCTATCCACTACATGAGGTCCCACTACCAAGAAGCTATCGATGTCTACAAACGCATTCTGCTGGAGAACCGGTGGGCATTGCTAAACCTCACTGCAGGGTCTGGGAGTGTTGGTATTTAAATTCCATACAGCTGCTTGGTATCTGAAAGTAAGCACTTCCCACAACTGCCACATCCCTTTCCCACCACAAATGGGCACAGGTTGCAGCCCCTCAATTCTGTTCATGGCAAAGTGTTGAAAAATGCATGCTTAAAAAGAGGCTGCTCTCTGTTGCTTTCTTTTAGTGATATTTCATGATGTCTTTTTTTATTTCATTACTTTTATTTTTCTGAAATGATAGATGGTTAGGTACCTACTTTGTCTTTTTCTTTCTTCCCCTCTGATGGCCGGTCTGGTGACTCTTGAATTATTGGCTTCTCCTTCACCTCTTAGCCTTACTGAGAATGGTTCAGTTCTTGAGTTTTATATAGTTCATTGCATTCCTTTAAGTCTGAAATTCTTTCCTTTTCTATTTATCCTCTATAACACTTGTTGATGGGTTTTCCTATCATGTTCAGAAGTTAACAAGGAATAAATTGAATTCTTAAGTGGCTGGAAGTATTGTTTAATAAAATAGAAGCTGCTGTCCCAGAATACAGCTATCTTTCAGCAGTATCTCCTCTTGAATGTTTCAGAGAAATCCATCATGATGTATATAAGTGTATCATGTAATGCTTGGGGAAGAGATTTTAACTTCCAAATCCTGTGGAAGCATCCACTCAAAGCTACATAAGTAACCTCCATAACAATTATCCTTCTACTTAGTTTTCACTGACACTTGTCTTATTGCTGTGTCTGGTTCTTCTGGCTTGATAGCTTGTAATGACAAGGATTTTCTGAAATAATTATACTTGGTACAAACTTTTATGTGCATATTAAATATTTTTGCATGTTTTCCTTAGAAAATCCTGTTCTGCTAGTGCTCGTGTTCTGCATGCTTACTTGGTGTGAAGTTGCCACCATTTCCCAGTTTTCAAACCAAAGGTTTTATAGATAATTCTTAAAAACTGCAGTAGCTGCCATGGAAAAAAAAGTACTCTGGGTCTGGATCTGTGCAGTCTTAGCTAACAAACTAGAGAAGCTCTAAGCATTTCTCAGAAACCCCAGTTTTGATGTGCTTGTAAAATATGTATAGACATGTGCAACCTTTATTACTGATTTTAATGCTCTGTAGTGGGTTCAGCTTCTAAATCTGGTGGGATTTAAATGTTCTCTTTAATCCTCCTTCCTGCAGGGAATACCTAGCTCTGAATGTGTATGTGGCCCTGTGCTATTACAAACTGGATTACTATGAAATATCACAGGAAGTGTTGTCTGTTTATCTTCGGCAAGTTCCTGACAGCATCATTGCTCTTAACCTGAAGGCTTGTAATGATTTCAGACTTTACAATGGGAAAGCTGCTGAGGTATCTACTGGACAGTCCTTCAATTCACCTTTATTTTAGTTTAAGATTCCATATACGTTTCTTTTCCTTGTTATCTGTCTTAATCAGTAACATTGATAATGGCCTTTATCTTGTCATTGTGTCCTTCTTTTAAGAATGTCACCTATTTCAGTTTCCCTGGTCTTAACCCATCTGTCAACATGTGTGCACAGTGCTCTTTACTGTGTTCCCAGTACACTTCTGATCTTTTGTTTTAATTGCTAAAATTATCACATAGAAGTGGGAATGCAAAATCTCCTAGTGACCCAGTGCTGATGGAGATGTCTTTATGTCAGCTTTGGAGCTCATTTGAAGCTCTGCTTAGGCTTCTGTGCTTTTTTGGGGTTTGTGTTAAAATTTTGGCACGTATGTAATTCCAGGCAGAGCTCAAGAACTTGACAGACAGTGCCTCATCATCTTTTGAGTTTGGCAAGGAGCTCATTAAGCACAATCTGGTAAGTAATGCATCTCTGGGATTTAATAGGAACTGCAATCCTTTGTAGAGCTTTTCATGATGATTCATAAAATGGAATATTTTGGTAGTTACAGACCTAATTGAATCTCTGCTACCATAAGTCACATCCTGGGAATCCTACCTGTATAATGAATGTGCATCAAGTGTATTTATTTTTGTCCCTGACAGATTGAGAGTGTGTCAAGAAAATAATGATACTGTTCCTTTAGGTCCCAAAGGCATATTAAAATAATGTGTGTTGTGTAAGAATACCTTTGTGAAGCCCACTCAAGAAGGACACTGTAGAAACAAGTCAGAATGTATGACCCTGAACTCTTTATTTAGTACCACAACAATGTGAGTGGACGTAAGGTAATTCGTGAAAATGGCCTTCATCTTCCGCTGCACTTGATGCTGGTGAGGCCACACCTTGAATCCTGTGCTCAGTTCTGGGTTCCTCAGTTCAGGAAGAATATTGAGGTGCTGGAGCAGGTCCAGAGAAGAGCAACAAGGCTGGTGAAGGGACTTGAGCACAAGTGCTATGAGGAGGGGCTAAGGGAGTTGGGATTTTTAGCCTGGAGAAGAGGAGGCTCAGGGGAGACCTTATCACCCTCTACAACTCCCTGACAGGAGGTTGGACTCAGGTGGGGGTTGGTCTCTTCTCCCAGGCAACTAGCAATAGGATAAGAGGGCACAGACTCAAGCTGTGCCAGTGGAGGTTTAGGTTGGATACTAGGAAGAGATTTTTTACAGAGAGAGTGATCAGGCATTGGAATGGGCTGCCCAGGGAGGTGGTGGATTCACCATGCCTGGAGGTTTTCAAGACAAGACTGGATGTGGCACTTAGTGCCATGGTCTAGTAACCACGGTGGGGTTGGACTTGATGATCTTGGAGGTATTTTCCAACCTGGTTGATTCTATTATTCTATAAGTACTTCATTCAAGTACTAAACAAGGAGTTCCTAGGGAAAAAGGTGTGTTCTGCAGTGAAAGAGTCACTAATCACCAGTTAATTTTCCCTGCAGTGGTGTTATTACTTTGCTGAACAACTGGTAACAGTAGATTGCTCTTACTTAATGATGGGCAGTTGCTTGCTTTGTTGTTTTCCAAGAGCTCTCATAACAAGCTAATGCTTTTTTCCCACCAAAGTTAAAACTGCTTTCAAATTGGACTTTTGTAAGTTAACATTGTTTGTTTTGTATGTTGGGTGTTTTGCCAGTGGTTTATTGAATAAGTATGTTAGATTTTGTTGGAGGAACTGTTGTGTGAAACTGAGGTATAATCAAGTGCTTCTGATAATTTTAGGATCTTGTGGCATTCTAAATAAATGTAGAGTTGTTAGCCTAATTTTTTGATATGAAAACATCATAAGCAAATTGTAATTTTGTGTGTGCTCTCTTCACTCTTGTCTCAGACCATATTATTCTTTTAAATCTTTGAGATATGATATATCACTGTTTTGAGCTTCTAAAAGCTGAAATAAATTAATCTTCACTGATGGATTAAATACTTCATATTCTTCAGAATAAAGATCTCCACACTTCATGGAATAGCTATATTGAAACAGGGATTATGCTAATGCCAGAGCCACTGACTTTTCCTATTGTTAATACAGGAATTTAAAGATTAATTTCCTTGAATTAAGAAAAGATTTTGATACCTGGTTCTTGATATGTTGCTTCTCTCTGCAGGTGGTTTTCCGAGGAGGAGAAGGGGCTTTGCAGGTCCTGCCTCCTCTGGTTGATGTTATTCCTGAGGCAAGACTGAATCTTGTGATTTACTATCTCCGGCAAGGTAAATACAGCTTCCTCTGGCTCTTTTGTAGCTTCAGGGATGGCATTCATCCATCTTATGTCAGCTGATTAGTCAATGAAATGCTTTTTTTCTTTGCCATAAAATATAATTTATTTCATTTTCTATTCCTTTGGAAAGCAGTGAAGTAAGTGTTCCCATGGCTTGCAGGGAAGGGCCTTAATTGTGTTCAGTCAAGTAAACCTATTTCAGCATAATACTGGAGGTTCTTGGGTTGCAGGACATGGCTTTGGGGATGGTCGTGTTTATCTGTTTATGGAGAGCGTACCTTTCCTCTGCCTGAACATGTGAGAATGGCAGGCACATGTCCTGTGAAAGCAAGGACAACTAGTTCTGTAAATACAGCACAAACAGAATATGAGTGAAAGGGTTTGTGAACAAGTCTACAGTTTGTGAACAAGACATTTCATGAATATCTGCTTTACAACTGGTAAAGAATGCAGGTAGGTAGCCAGAATCCATTGGATAGGATTTTCTACATGTATCCCTCCTTAGTCTGCCAAACAGTGGTTTGACTGTCTGTGTGGTTCAAGGCACATCCAATTAGATCAAGATGCTTAGAGCCTTGTCCAGACAAGCTTCTAGTCAGAAGTTCCTATGTTCTACCTTGTGTCCGCTGCCTTTCATCTCACCCCATGGAACCTGTCTCCATACTCTCTGTACCCTCCTATTAGTTAGTTGTAGTCTGGGATGAGACCTCCCTTGAGCTTTCTCCTCTGAAAGCTAAGCAAATGTAGTTCTCTCAGTCTCTCCTCAGCCCCTTCCTGCCTTAGGAGCCCACAGGTGGGCTTACTGCAGTAGTTCAATGTCTGCACTGGACACAGTACTCCTGGTGCAATCTCACAAGTGCCAGATACAGAAGAATTCCTTCCCTTGCCCTGATGGCTACATTCATGCTAGTATGATCCAGCATGCACTTGGCCTCCTTTGCTGCAAGGCTGCACTGTCTGCCAGGCTGCCTTTTAGCCAGTCAGCCCTGCACCTGACTTGTTGCTCAGGAGTGTTTTGAACCAAGCAAAATGCAGGACTTGCATTTTGCCTGCACTGAACTTTATGAGATTTCTTTCAGCCCATGTTTTTCAGCCTGCTGAGCTGCTTCTCAATAGCTGGGAGCTGTCTTCACAATCTGTTATCATTTGCAAACTTGCTGAGAGTACTCTATCCTAACATCTGGGTCGGTGATATAAGTAAGACGTGCAACGTATCAGTCCCTGGGGGATCTGATTAGCAATGAGCCACCTGTTGGGTTTTATACAACTGATCGATGTCCAGACAGTTTTCTATCCCTTGATAGTCTTACTTAGTCAGTCCAATCTTTCAAGTTTGTATGAGAGACCATGTCAAAGGCCTTGCTAAAGTCAAGGTATACAGCATCGGCTACTATACCCTTATCCATACAACCAGCCATACAGTGGGTTAGTCAGTACACTCTGGCATTGGTAAATCTTTGCCTGCTGCTCCTAGCCAGCTTCCTGTCCAGTATTATTGTTGCCAATATCACTATTGGCAATATTAGTATTATTGCCAGTTATCTTGCCCAATAACATTGTTAATAATAATATATATGTTACAAGTCAAGTTCAGTTTGCACAAAGCAACAAAGTGCATCTTGTGCATTCCTTAAAAATCAGTCTTAACTGCATTTGCAGTTAACCTTGCAGTAATTTTCAGTTGTTAGGTTCTGCTCTTCACTGTGGTGTATAAATGACTTGCATACTGACAAAGAAGGTCAAGGGGAATTAGGATTAAAATCTCTTTCCTGGTTTGGCCAAGTTTCCATTTTTAAGTCCTGCTCGGGTAGCAGCATAGGTTAGGAATGTGAGAAATCATTACTTCTAACGACTACAGCTGTCTCTCCAAAAACTTGAAAGGTCTCTGATAAAGGTAGGCTTGTGTTAAGACATGCCATGAACTAGAATGACTGTAGCACAAACATGCATCCCATCTTTTATCAACTCTTCAGGGTAGTGACTTGTAGCAAGGTTTGGGGCCAGGTATCCGGTTCTAATCTGCTCCAGTGAGATTTGCCAGAAGCTTCTGTTGGAACCTGAAGAGCATAGCTCTGTGTTGGTGGTCTACTGACAAAAATAAGGGCTGCTGTAATTTTTTTTTGGTGGTGGTGGTGGTGGTGGTGGGCTAAGCTAGCCAAAAACTTCAACAACAAAACAACACACAATAATTTCTATTAAAAAAAACAACAACAAGGGAAAGGTGATGACTTTTGGCTAGTCTGGTACCTTGTGCTGCCTTACTACATGACTGCTCAAGGGAATGGGTAAGAAAACAGAGGTGTTGGATGGGAGCCTGTCAGCAACAGTGTATTCCTTAAGTCACCCTGGAGTACTGTCCCCACAGCAACTGGATGGTATGTACTAGCATAAAAAAACATCTGGTTTGGTTGTGTGGGCAGATATAATGCTCTGTCAACAAAATTTTGCCAGTAAAAGTACATCGTCACTAGGTTAGTTCATGAAGCCAACCATAGTGACAACAGCTTTTTTTGATTTAAGTACAGTTTAGGATCGGTTTAGTTTATTTAATTCTTGGGTGGGAAGGAAGATGTTTATTGAACTCAAAACTTCTATACTAGCAGTGCTTTTTCCTTGTTAGAATTAGGATCAGGTAAGAGATGCTGGACAGATATTGAAATATTGATAGGGAAAAGATGAAGTTTCCTCCAGCATTATGTTATCCTATCCTCCTTGAGGGGTAAATAAATATGAGAAAAGAAAATACAGGAAGATGATGGATTTATTATTTTGACCTTGTGCTGTTGAGAAGGCAGCCACTGGCTTATGAACAAGGGGGCCAGATCATCTCTACTAGGAAAATTGTAGTAATAAAGAAGCTATTACTCACTCAATGTTTGTTATTCAAGTTCTAGAAAACCATCACCATCGTGATATAAATTCACAATGATTTATAGTTGCCTTTCTCCTCCTGTCTAAATGCTTTATTTCTTGGTCTATGACTATTGGGGAATGTTGTAGAGGATGGGTGACTTGTTCTAATATAGTGTGCTATGGGTTGTCATGCATTCTAATGTCTGGTATTTCAGATGATGTGCAGGAGGCTTATAACCTGATTAAGGACCTGGAACCTACAGCTCCACAGGTAATTGGAAACTGATGTCATGGTACACAAAGACAGACGTTATTAATTGACATGAAATCTGCCACATACAAAACTGGTGTGCTGAGGACAGCTTGCCCCATTCCCACTCTTAAAACCCTTGTATTTTCCATCCCTTCATCAACAATAGATTTAATGTGCACACACAAAATATTATATATGTGCATATATGAGTACTTAGCCTGTTTATTACTGTACCACCTAGGGTCAACTAAGAGTATAGCTCTGCTGTGTGCAGCCTTGATTCTGGGGAGCTGACCATTAGTGCATAGATAAAAGCCCTTTCCAGCTACAGCTACATGTCACTTCTGCCCTCGTGATGGTTACCATCCCTCAGATCTGCTAGCTCAGATGTTCATATGGTTCGTACTGAAGCCATTTCAATAAAAATAAGCTAGATTAGATTGAAGAGTTTAAATAAAAGGTATTTTCTAATCCCATCTCACTTTGGCTGCCATGAGTGAAAACTGCAGTGTCCCTTGGCTGCTACTGTAATTTTCTTTTGTGGCTGTTCCAGCATCTTTAGTCTCTGATTTATTCCTCTTTGCAGTTTATTTTCCAAAGGTCACATAGCTGGGCATGAAAGGGACCTTTCATGAGTCTGTGTGAGGAATTAGATGGAGGGAGGGAAAAGGAAACCTCAAGAACACAGATCTGGTGATTCTGTGCTAAGTGTCTTCTGGTGTTGCTTTAGACTTCTTGCATTTTTCAGTATATATAGCAAGAATTACTTGAACAGTTTTATGCAGCTGTTGGCCCTTTAGCCTCTGTTCTCTCCATATCCATGCCTAATAATTCTTGATCACATTTTGGAATGAGAGTCTTTGTGCTTTTTTTGTTCCTCATTTTTTGCTCACACTTACAAGGAACTCCCTGCTAAGACTTGCAAAACTACTTGAGTATTTCTCAAATTTCTACTTTGTCACAATGCCTATAGGATAATAATTTGGCATCTGTAAGAGAGTTGGTGTGCTAAAATGATTACTTAGCATCCTGACTAGTACTCTCAGATTGTTTCCTTGCATTCCATTGTTGGTCTGTGTAGATGTTTCTTTCTCTGTGTTTACCTCTGTGACAGAGCTGTCTAGATTTATCAGGAGTACCTACTGAAACAGGTTTATAGCTATAACTCTTAATTTTAAGATCTGGATGAGACAGAAGAGTCTGTTACATGCTGACAAAATCTTGCTCAGAGAAGAATTAAACTATAGTTTGTTTCTCATGCTAGAGGTTACATGGTACTCAATTTCTATTCCTAATTTCAGCAGAGTTGCATGGCCACAGAGCACAAACCTCTTGACATTTTTTCCCTGATGAGAAACACTATGAATTTTGCAGCAAGGATATTAGTGGTTATTGTTAACCAATGTGCCTATCTGAAATGGGATCTGTGCTTACACAGAACAGTATTGCACTTACTGGTCACATGATGGTGAAGAAGGCATGATAGGGTGTTGTCATGTTCCTTCTTGACCATAAGACATCACCCAGTGCCCCTGTGCATCCCACATATTTAGTGGAAGTGACTACCTAGCAAGTAGAATGTATTGGGAGGGCTAAACTACTGCTAGTGTGGTTAAGTGGTATCGTAGTAACAGCTACCTACTAAACTGAGATGGGATAGAGTTGAATTTATGAAGAAAACAATGTACCCTTAGGCTTTTACGTATCTTCTCATGTCTCCAACTTGCCTTCTCTGATCCTTTTTACATTTTTTTTCAGGAGTACATCCTCAAAGGAGTGGTAAATGCAGCGCTTGGACAAGAAATGGGCTCGGTGAGTGAAGCCCATGAGGTTCTCCAGCAATAGAATGCAAACAGATTTGTAGGAACTGGAATGAAGTGAAAGAGGCAGTCACTTCTCATTTAGATTGCAGGATCTTTGAGTCTCCTAACCTCTGACTGTACGGTAGTCAGTCCAGAATGAGTGAAATGCAAATTTCTGTTGCTGGTCTTGACAGTAAATCAAGCTGAATTTAGCTTCTCTATCCTGTTTCCAAAAAAACTGTTTACTTTCCACGGTGTTCTTGTGTATCTGGGCACATACAGTGGCACAGTTACCTTCTGGTTTTGCTTCAGCCCTGGTTTGTCTGTTAGTTGCTTCCCATCTGTTTCTCAGAGCATATTTTCATTGTATATTGTAGCATCAACTCTGGAACTTGTGTTGGTTTTTTTCCTTTCCCAGAGAGATCATCTGAAAATTGCTCAGCAGTTCTTCCAGTTGGTGGGGGAATCGGCCAGCGAATGTGGTATGTTTGACATGTTCTGTCTCCATTATGTAATCCTTCCTAAAATACCCAAATATATACCATCACATCTGTGTCTTAACTGCTGCCTGTTAGCAGGACTATTGCTAGGCATTTTGTTGCTATAGGATGAGTATCACAAAGTCTACATTGTAGTCTAAAACAAATTTGTAGGTTTAAATTAGAATGCTCAGTTGATTCTAAACATTACTTACATGACTTTGTCTGGAAAAGGGGCAGCACTGCAAACTGCTGGTCTTCACTGAGAGGCTCTCTGGCAAGTTGCTTTGGACTAATAATCCCCATTATAGAAACAGAAGACAGCAGCCTAATTAATTAGATGAAGTGTGTGGCTGAAACCTCACAGGTACAAATCTAGGATGGCTAATGAAAGCCTATCAAGAACATAGAGTCCTAGGATGGAGTGTGTCCTGAAACTGACAGTGAAAAAATATAAAGAGGAATTTGGCTACAGAGAGAAATGAAGGCTCTGGGGCTAACTCCTTGCTTGTATCAAAAAAAGTCAGTGATAAAACCCAAGAAAAACCCCAGTATATTTTCAATATTTACTTTTAGTTATTTAATAATAGACCAAACCAAGACCTTATCTTCCCTTCCCTTTGCCAAAACCAAAAATCCCAAATCAAAAAAGCCAGTAGTTCTAACACAGAAATTCAGACAGAACAGTTTCCTTTGTAGGCATTGTCACTGGGACTGTTTCTTTAAGGTGGGTAACTTATGCATGTTTGTGGAGCAGGCAGCTCATGGTCCCCAGAGGGAGAATGCTGTTTCCTGTACCCATGGTGACTAAAGAGAAGGAGCTCAAGAGACAGAATGGCAGTACTGATGAAACTTTCAGAAATACTGTTGAGCCATTCTATTCTGTTCTCCTTGCAGCCCTGGTGCTGTTGAAGTCATGCAGCAGAGAGTTTCACATTGGCAGGCTGGAAGTGATTCCATAGATGAGATTTCCCTAACACATTCCTTTTACATTAAGGCTGTCCCTTTGGAGCTGGGATCCCAGATAACGGGGAGAAACAATATGAACTATGATAGTGGAAGATTCCGTTAGTGGGAATATAGCTAACTGGTTTGCAATGCCAATGAAGTCACGAAGTGACAATGGCAGTAGACTCTCAATGCCTAGAATAATCATCCAGTGACCATAGCACACATGGATAAAAATAGTACAGGGATAATCTGAAAGGATTTAGAGAGATATAGCCCAAAACCAAATTTGAAGCCAAAAGTCTCAATTTTACTGTGAAATGTTGATAAACCCATATGCAAAGCAAGACAGAGAGAGGCTGAGATGTGGTTGAGGGAGGGGGAAAAAAGGCAACAGAAATGTAGTACAATTATGAAGGTGGATTAATTGAAAAAATGAGCCTGTGGGAAGGATTGGTTCCAATTAGAGGTAAAAGAAAACATCAGTCTGCAAGTATTCTGCCCTCTTGATACTTCCATGTAAAAACTGCTTTGTCATCTTGAAAACTTATGGGAGAAAATTGTCACACAAAAGAGCACACAGTTCAAGGTAACTCCTTTGAAGGCAAAATAGTGGGGTATTTTTAAAATCCTCAAATGAAGGACAGGTGGAGGTCAACAAACTGTAGATAGGAAATAGAAGAGACAAACAGTTCTATTTAGATAGGATATAACAAAAGCCAAATACATGAAGCCCAGATATGGTTTAGGGGTTACAGCAGAGTGTCAGGCTAATGGTTGGACTCAATGATCTTAGAGGTCTCCTCCAACCTTGATGATTCTATGATTCTGTGAGATATGTGTTTTTATACAAATATTAGATGGTTTTAAAAGAAGCTGAATAAAGTGGAACACCTGGTTTTAGAAGAGGAAGCTAAAAACCTAAAATATTTTTTAGGTGTGATAGGAGGAAGGTAACATGTAGGATGTTGTTACTATTCAATGTACAATGAAGATTATAAATAGATGGTGCCAGTGGAGAAATGGTTCTAAACATTATAGAAACTTTCTCTCAAAATATCTTTTCTTTATCAGTGAGTAAAATAATATTGTTTAAAATTACATATTTAGATAGGCATCATAGTAAGGCCAAATTATTCACCAGCCAGCCTGGATGGGATCAGTGACTGTCATATTAAAGAGGTTAGAAATTTTAATAGAAAGATAACTATATAATAGTTGGAGACTTCTGTTCTGCCCATATTGACTTAGTAAATGCAATGACATGGCATGATAAAAAGCATGTTTCCATCCTTCTTAGAGAAGACACAAGTGAACAAGTAGCTCTGGACCAATACAGAGATTACATAGAAACTGATTTGCAATTTCATGATGAAACTCCAATTTTGTTATAGTAACCTGAGTATAATCAAATTCAAAATCTGTGTGATAGCAAATGCCTCAAAAAATTTCCACAGTACTAATTGCAAGAAGAGAAGCTACATAATAACCTTCCTCATTTCTAACAGAAAATTTACAGTGAAGTAGCAGTGAAAAGGATAAAATACACCTGATTTGAACACTTGAAAGAACCTTTTGTTTCTCTAAAGAAAGGGCTTGTATTCATAATTAATGAGCTATAGGAGATAAATAATGGCATGACTAGGTTTGCCAATGGCTCAAAATTACCCATAGTAGTAAAAATAAAAGCTTCCACAATGATGAAAGGTGTGGAAGACTATATAAGGCTGGGTAATATTATGTAAATTAAATTTAGCAAAATAATAAGAAAAGTTGAAGAGAATCATAAGAATTGATGAAGAAAGAGAGAACAAAACAAAAATAATTACTGTGTCAGCGTATACAGATGTGGTTCCTTTCCTTGAATACTGTCTGCAGTAGAACAGGAAAGGAGACAATAATGACAACAAGGATGATTAGAGAAAGGGGATAGCTTCTTGAACAAGGAGGGATTAAATAAAGGAGGATACATGGGATGAAAAACAATCACTGAGTTTGATTATATGCATCAGAAATGACAAGGAGAAGAAGAATAGGGAAGAATTACTTACTGTACAATTCAAAAAACAAAGAACAATGACATCAATTATCACACAAAACAAACAGCACAAATTACTTTTTCACACAACACAACTTATTTGAGACAGAATCTTGCGAGAACCAGAAGATGTAAAGAAGCTTGTAGATGAAAAGTCCTTTGGCTGTTTAACATAAGCTTTTCAGCGATGATCGGGAAGTCCTCAGTGCGGATTGTTGGAAGCTGGGAGAAACTTCAGAGCATTATGCCACATTACATGCCACTGTACATGTTACATGTGAAATCAGACTACATTCTTTCTATAGCTATATATTCTTACTCAGCAAGCTTCTGCACCAGACAAACTTTGCATCCAATATGATAATTTTCATGGTTTTTAGGTAACTTAGCATATTAATCACTATGTTGTATATTGGCAGTAAGTTTTTATCTGCTCCCTTTGTTTTGCTGGATTTAGAATGGAGGACAGAATTCTTGCTGTATGTATATTTAGGTTGTTCCTAAGTAGCCAGCCATGCTGTCCAAGCATGTAAGTCATGCTTCAGCACTTCCCACTGGGCCAGTCCTTGCAAGAGCTAGTACCACTAGGTTGTCTGTTTAAGATCTTCAGCAAGTTACTTAGCTGCTTTGCAGATTGATAATACAGAGGTAGATTGTGCTTGCTAGAGGGAGAAAATTCTGTGTTGTGTCTTTGCTTGCAATTGGGCCTGTTTCCTGGTTTTGCCTGGGAATGAGTTAATTTTCTTCTTAGTAGTGCTGCGTTTAGAATTTCATATGAGAATAGTGTTGATAACACACTGTTGTTTCAGTTGTTGCTAAGCAAGGACTTCTCAGTTTCCCATGCTCTGCCAGTGAGGAGCTGCACAAGAAGTTGGATGTGAGCATGGCCAGGACAGCTGATCTGAATGAATCAAAGTGTTATTCCATACCATAGAATGTCATGCCCAGTACCTAAACTGAGGGGAGTTGACTGGGAGGGGCTGATTGTTTTGGGGATGGGCTCAGCATGGCTCAGTGGGTTGTGAGCAGTTGTATTGTTTCTCTGCTTCACTTCTCTCCATCACTTGTTTCTCTTGGGTCTTATTACTCTCTCTCTTTCGCTCTCTCTTTCTCCTTTTCATTACTATTGTTATTAATAATAATATTTTGCTTCATTTCAATTATTAAACTGTTCTTAACCCACAAGTTCTACTTTTTTTTGGGGGGGAAGGTGGAGCTGCTGAGTAGTACATAGCTGCTGGCTAGAGTTAAACCACAACAGTCTACAAGGCTTCTTATTTTAATGTTGGATTATCAGGAAAAAATGGATTGAAATGAAGATGTGGAAAAATGTTTTTGACTTGCTATTGTTAATTGTAAAAATCCCATGACTGCATTAAGAAAAAAGCAGCAACAGACAGTTTAGGAAGAATACAGTGTAATTTATTTGTGAAGTAATTTGTAGTCATCAATTAAGCCCTTTGCTTTTTTTAATTAGATCTCTGACTTGCAGGTTGAAGGAACATAGAGCAAAGCAAGTTAATGTGAAAGTCCTTTCCAATAAGTGTACACATTTCATCTCGTGTTGGATGTTATTGTACTTTAAAAGGAGTAGGGACGCCCAAAACAAAAACTAAAAAAACGTTCAGGAAGCACAGTGTAGGAGTCAATATTCATCCTCTAGCAGCAATAAATAACACCTGGAACAGCAACCTGGTTACTGAGGTTTTTCTAAGCTTAATAAAAGTTCTTAATCCTAATGATAGTGATCCTGAACTCACTTAGATTAGTGACATCCTAAACTCACTTAGATGAGTGGGTTTGTATGAAGTGTCATTTCCTAAGAGTAAGAATAGTTCATGCTAAAATTATGCTGCATAAATTGTGTCATGGAAAAGGTTTGCTACTTAAACCTTTTGTCTCTGTGGAGTTTGCTGTTGAGTAAAGTCTTGCAATAGTTATTTGATGCTGTAGAGAAAGTTGACAAGATGAATGAATATTTTTTTCTAGCCTCTAGTATGGTCCTTTGCCTCAAAAGGAAAGCTATGCTATTTTTAGAAACTAATTGCTTTCATAGTTGCCTGCAATCTTGGCAGTTATTTCCATTACCGTGTGATCTTAAAATTCTATAAATTTGCATTTCTCTTTTGAATTTTAGATACCATTGCAGGGAGACAATGCATGTCCTCCTTCTTCTTTCTTCTTAAACAGTTTCCTGATGTCCTAATTTACCTCGACTCAATCAAGGTTAGTATTATTATTTAGTATTGATAATACTGTAATGCATGGAATCACAATGAAAACATAGAAAGATACAGAAACACAAAGTACCAACAAAACACAAGAACAATAGTGGGACATAAGTGGTCAGTACAGCAAAGGGATCAAAATGAAAGAAGCAGTGTAGAAAATAGCATCGTGCACGTGGTGGGCATGATGGTCTCATCACACTTGCAGTTTAACCATTATCAGGCTTTCTGGTGGAATCACAGAAGACAAGGGATAATTGAAGGAAGCGATGAAAAAAAATTGTGAATATTTATGGGGCAGCAGGGAGGAATAAACCCCAGATGTTTCCTTGAGACTTGTCATTTGAGTGATGGAGGTTATTGTCACTAGTTAATAACTGGGGACAACATTTTAATGCACAAGAGTGTGTAAGGAATATAGGACACAAATGACTGAAAGTCATAACACTTCTATTTTACAGGGTAAGCAGTCACTGAAGGGCTAAAATAGGACAGTATTACCAAAACAGTAAATGATGAATGTTATTTTTGCAGAAGTAATCAGAATGGTTCCCAGCAGACAATGTTGCATTTTTCAAAGTAAGAGAAGAAGTTTGCAATCAACATCATGCAGCATTATCAGATCACCAGTATTTAATGGGTATAACTTGCAGATACCCAGATGTGAGGAAAGAGGGAGGCTGGAGTGGGATTATGGGTGAAATGATTGCAGTCTTATTCCAGTGATTTGAAATTAGAGTTGTAACAACTCTATATTTGGTAAGAAGAGGAACAAGAATCTAAAAAGGAATTAATTGGAAGATACACAAAATGAGCAGATTTACAGTGTTCTAAGGAGAGTGAGATCTAAAGAAAAATGTGTGGTCATAATGGTGCCAAAAGCAGCCAAAAGAGTGAGAAGTTACGAAGGTGTAGTGTTTTTAAACTTTGTCTGGAAAGAGACCCTTGAAGAAATCCAAAAAGGCTCTAACCACTGGAATGGCTCCAGTGTAGTGGAACGAATTGTCACACCACCCCCACCCCCCCAAACTGGAGTGTGTGTGTAATTGAAGAACAGGAGAGCTGGAAATTAACAGTGAGAATTGTTTTGCCTAACTTGAGCCACCTAAAAGTCAGATTTCTAGTTGTAACTGGTCATCTGGTCTCAGTTTATAGCCAATGGGGACAGATGGTCATTTCCAGAGAATTCATCCTGTGTAGTTCTTACCCTTATAATGCAGTGAATCACCCCATAGAAATCATAGAATCATAGATTCTTTCCATTGCCTTTAAAAAGTTCTTAATCAAGTGGTTCTAACCTGAAAAGGTCAAAGTTAAATGTGATTACAAACCACCTCCAAAGTGTATGGGACACAAGCTTTCTACCTACTATTTGCATGGTGCTTTTGAAGTAATTGATCATTCTCACAATTTTTTAGCTGAGACATGCTCAGATTACTTAAGTCATTTCCCTTCTCTTCAGGTCGCAGGGATGCAAATAATTATTCCTGTGCCATGCTACAGGCAAAATTTAGGTGGCTTTACAGGTACTTCTGTGTTTCATTCACAGGAATAAACTTCAGTAGAGTCTCTGTGGCTCTAAAAGTGGAGCATGTACTCTGTGAAGATCATTTGTATGATACTCTTTCAAGAGGCACCACCTTCACTCACGATCAATTAAAACTGCTTTAGGCATGAGAATGTCTCAGAGGACACCTTACTATAATGTATTGCCAGCAGCCCTGAGAGAGACATTGTAGCACTGGGGATCAACTGAGAAAACAACCTGATTCAGGCTGTGGCCACAAGGGGAATAATCCGTTGTTGAGCCTCTCGTTGAAATGGACATCACTCACAGGACAGTTAGTTTTATAAAAAGATTGAAGACCACTAAAAAGACCACAAAAGAGTGAAGTCCAGTACATATAGTGTGGTTTCAAAAAAACCAAAAAACAACCATCTAGCAGCTGTCAATGTGCTGCACTATCAGCAGCACTAGTTTGTTTCTACTGGTTTTGGTTTTGCAGCAGGTCTGGTCTCTAACACTTACACAGCCAGGACAGAATGACACATTTTTTGAGTTTGTTTGCTGACTGAGTTTCTTTTCCATTTTAATTAAAAAGTACAATGGGGACTATTTGAACAGAAGAAACCATTCATGCAGTAAAAGTAGCATCTGGCTCACCAGCTTTGCTTAACCTGGGACTCGTGCTGATTCACATGAAACTACTATTGAGAAAGAGTACAGTAAAGTGTTGTAATTCTCACATGGTGAAACCCATAAGGCTACTGAAATGTTTTCACAAACTGAGCTCAAGATTCACCTGATTGGTTCATCCTCATCCTCTCATGCACTTGCTGTATTTGCTGGCTTGTGGACCCTAACATAGACTCCTCAGGTGAAACCTAAACTTGTGGCAAATGGTGGCGATCCCCCAGCTTTCCTTTCCAGGCATTAGCTTGATGTATGTGGGTAGACTGAATCAGTACCCTTTGTTAACTGCCTGTGACAGGGAAGGCAAGAGGTTTCTCAGTGTCCCTGCACCATGAAAGAAGATAGCACTGGGAAAGGGATTTGCCCCTTGCTTCCCATGTCTTTTGTACAGTCCCAACTATGCTTTTTACCTCCTCCTCACTCTTTAATGACAGAACAAAACAAAAGTTTGATCTTCCCACACAAGTTCTGTTTCCTTTATAAACGTTATATGAGGAGAAACATTTCTTCTTCTCCATATCTTGCTGTTATGCACCCAGGAAGGCTTCTCTTACAGTAACTATAGTGGATAAACCACCCTCCTTTTTCCCATGCTCTTTCACAAGCACTGCACTGCTCCTTGGCAGGGATCTTCAATCCCTTCCATGCTTGTAACTCTCATGCTGTGTTCCATCTTACCTCTACCAAGTGTACTGGTGCAGCAGTGTGGGACAGTGCTGAATGTAGAAAACACCCAGCTGACTTTTGGTCACCCGAGTTATATTTAAGGCTGGACATCTGACCACGATCAAATCTAAACTGTTTGGGTCAAACCCAAACATCAGACTAACCTGCACCTAGAATTACATTTCCTGCTTTGACACACGTAGCTTTTGAGAAAAGGCACAGCTAGATCAACCTCATGTGTCCTAAACCAGGTGTGTCAAGTCTAGTATTATGGGGACAGAAAACCTTAGTGTTGCACTTCAGCTGGAGAGAAGGGTTTCTGTAAGCAAGGCTTGAGCTCCAGGAAGTCCTATTACACTGTGTTGCCTGGCTAGAGCCCAGTACTGCAGCTCCACCTCCATCGTGGGATCCAGTGCGTCACGTAACCAGGTCCACAGGATCTCTTGTTGAACCCTGCCAAATCTTAGAAAAACAAGCTGTTCATCTCCTTAAAGACTTTCGGGAGTCTACCCACCCTAGTGGTGAAGTAAGTGCTTGCAAGGTGGAGGAGACCATGGCAGCATAGCATGTCTTCACGTGCCCAAAGTGAAAATTATACCCTCAAAAGCTGCCACTGCAATTTTGAGCCTGGAACCAGATTTCTCATGGTTAATACTGTGGAATGTTTCAGCTGTGTTTGTAGTCATGAATGTAGGATGGAAAGCCAGTCCCTAATTTTCTGCCCACTGTTTATAAATGCCGTATGTTCCAGATGTGTGCTTTTCTTTTTCCTTCCCATTGTCTTGATATGGTCTGACTCAGATTGGGGGTTAGGGATCTATTTTTAATGTTATATCATGGGAGGAGGGGGTCTTTGTTTTATTTATTTGGGGTTTGCCCATGTGGCTTATTTTTCAGAGTTACTTCTACAATGATGACACTTTTAACTTCAACTATGCCCAAGCCAAAGCTGCCACAGGGAATTTTAGTGAGGCTGAAAAGGTATGTATTTACTTTCTTTCAAAAACAGCAATGGAAACAGTTCCCCTATACTTCCCTCTTTCCTTCCTTTTCTCCCTGCAGATCTTCATGTTGTTTGAAAATAAGCAGGTTGTATGGAACATCTCCTTCCCCTTCTTAGAGGAACTGAAACTCAGTGACACTATTCAGAAAAGATTATCTTGCTAATCTTGTAATGTGAGGTATATGGGGAGTCATGCTGCTTGTGGTGCATCACAAGAGTGCTTGCAGCTACCTCTAATTGATCAAAGAATGGCCTCTTAATCAGATTTCCTACGCTTTGTCTGGGATCCCAGGCACTCTTATTGTTCAGGCTGAGTGGGGCACGCTGTGTAAAAGACACTGAATAGTTAAGAGCTTCTAGGTGTCCCTAGAAATTTGTATTTAAAAAAATAATCTTCCTCTGGGAGGCAGGGAAGAAAAGAAGTGCTCACTATCTTATTCAGCAGCATTTAGATGCAGCTGGAAGAGATTAACTTCTACACCCAGTATGTTTTTATGTCTATGTGCAGTAGAAACTTAATTACAACTAAAATATGCAAAAGCAAATAGCTATTATGAAGATGGAAGCAACATTTTCCACAAGACCAGAAAGAAGACAAGCCACAAAAAAAAAATCCCACACCACGAAGTCTAAAGTGAATCATATAGGTTTGGTTGGTTTGGTTTAAATTTTTGGTTTGGTTTGGTTTTTCTGTCTTTCTAACTTTTTAACTCTTCAGGTTTGTCAACAACAGAGCCCCCCTGGTTTTATACTTTGTCACCCCCTCCTCCTACACCCTCCCTGCCCCCATTTCTCTCCTTCCTTAATTTCTGTGACCTAAAATTGCATCTCTCTTTAAGAAAAATATCCAAGACTGTCAGGGAAATGGATATATCTTTCCATTCACCTACCTTAGTTAGCTTAATGAAAATCTTTCGAAGCTCTGCTGGCAGCCTACACTGATTCCTGAGGCTTCATAAAAATGTTTTAGGAGCAGCCAGGCAACATAGAAACACAAAGTTGTAAACTGCTGTTAGCCTACATTTTCCCTTTTATGTTTTTAGAAGTTTTTCTATAGAAACTTGTGTGATATAGCTGATGTATTTAAGAAGCAGAATTATGTAACTGAATTGATTCATCTGGCCTCATGTCTGATCTTTGGTTGTGACGACACTTCCGTACAAAGATCGTCTTTCCACAGTGTCTCATAAACTTGTAAAACATCTCCACATACAGCACTTACTAAGTTATCCAAAAGCAAACCTCCCTGGACACAATGAAATAAACCCTATGATAAAGTGCTGTTTACAGTGATAATCCTGCTTTCTTTTTACTTCTTCCGTATTGCTCCTTCTCCTCCCCTGCAAAATTGGGGGATCAGCAATGTTGAACCAATACACATGTCAGTAATTTGTGGAACTCTCTGTTCCACTGCAGACATCTGCTGCTATAAAGGTATTCTGAGTTTTGCCAGGAGCATCCCAGTATAGTTACAAATATACTTGAGAGACATAAGTAGCTTTTTTTTTTCCAGTGAGCAAAGCCATTTTATATCATAAAATGTGTAACTTCCACACACACATCCCTTTAGATGTAGAATGTAATAAACCTGTGTTTGTACAGTAAGTTACAAAAGATGAATGCTTTGCCTCAGAAACCAAAATGGTTGGAAATGGCTTATTGCTGACCTGGAATGATCTCTGACATGTATGGGGAGGAAAGGCTCACCTATATGTGAAACTTCTGGTATTTCAAGAAGATGCTAATGTAGTTGCTTGCATTGCTTTCTAAACAAACACATTCCAAATAGCTTTCCCACAGGCCCAGTGTTCCTTTGTGCTGTTTGTGTTGCATGGCCACCCACTGGCACTTGTTCAGAGCAGGCTGCACCCTCCACTCAGCTTGGCCTTCTGAAGCTGCACAAGTCCCTTGGCCAGTGCGGCACTGTGCGAGTCCCGCACAACCCCACGCACAGGGATGCCCCTACACAGCACTTGCATACCCAAACTCTTCTCATGGAGCAGTTGTTTGTGTGGCTGAAGCTTTAGCTGCATGTCGAAACGAGGCAGCTCTGCCTTCTGTTTGTTTAAAAGTACGTGCATGTATAATCTTTTATTTTCCTTCTTCCTGCAGGTGTTCCTTTTGATCAAGAGTGAGAAGATAAAGAGTGATTTTGTTTACCTTAGCTGGCTAGCTCGCTGCTGTGAGTCACTTTACTCTCCACATTGCAGAATACAGATCCTCCTCTATTGCATCAGTCTTGGCAATCCACTTTCCTAATTGAATTTAATGTTGTAGGTGGATTCAGGACTATGAAAGTGAAAAGCTGATTGCACTAGTTACAGTGTGGGTGGTTATTGCACCTCTCATACATCTGGCTTTTATCAGCAATTACTGCTTTAGTGCAGTGCTGTTATTGTCCTGTCAATGCAGTTTTGTCCTAACTGGGGACCCTTTTTCTTCTCAGTTGCCTTCTCAATTGCCTGAGTGAAGACTTTCTGTCTTAAAAGACTTAGTTACGAACTCAGTACTGAGTTATGAACTCTATGTCCGCAGAAAAACACAAAATAGCAGCATTCATACTGGGTCAGGCTTCAAGGGTAGCCAATGTCAGATGTCTGGGGAAGAGAAGAGTCAGGCAAGCATATGCAGTAATTTTCATCCTACCATGTTATTCTACATGTTGTCCAAACTTCTGTACCTAAGAAATGTCCTTTATAATCTCTGGCATGGTTCTTCTTCAAAAAACTATTCTATTCTTTCCTTGAACCCAAGAAACTTCTGTGTTTAATATCCTTTAGCAAATCTTACTTTTTCTGAACCAGCTTTTAAAACATGGCAGATACACCTCAGTACAGCTGCAGTGCCACAGACAAAATTGTACAGAAAGTGGCTTTTCTGGTGACTCAAGTCTGAGACTCCCTAGGCTAATTTGTTTTCCTTACAGCACCTGAATACAAAAACATTCTTAAACAATTTTCCGTAGTTAGACTTGGAATGTAAATATGTATGTTTTGGGACATTATGCCATATTGCAGATGTAGTAAACATCTCTTAATATGATCTTTCCAGACAGGCACATCATGCTTACGGATGCCTATCTATGAGTCTATTTTAGGTGGTGCCAGTTTATTTCCTTTTAAATTAAGCTGCAGTACCTGGTTGTGTTTGAGTGTATTATATGTGAATTTTTCTAATGGGGATGATGAATGTAGTTATCTTTTTGTGTCAAGTATGTAAATTGCTAACAGATCGTGATGGATAAAAGCTGCTGTAGAAATTACAGAGCATTATAATACATTCATGTCAGAGTACGATTAGGTAGTGAGTTATAAACAATTCGATGCTGAAATATTTCCAAAGGGCAAACAATACCAGAGATGCATCTTTTTTGCATGTTAGAATGTATTTTTTTGTTTAATGTTATAGTACTATTTATACCAAATTCTTCTTGACAAGAAAGTATAAAACCACTGAATTAGCACAGGACTCCATCGCTCTAGGCAGATGGATTGGGGTTTGAAAATTAAGACGTGGCTGTTTGCCACTGTGTATGGTATCTGGAGCTGATGAGAGAAAAATCTGATTCGATGTCTTGCTGCCTCCTAAATGAGAAATGTCTATAAATTCTGTGATTTGGTGTTACGTGTTTATTGTTGATTAACACCCAGTTTACCTGCAACTTAAGTATTGACACAGTGGGCACAGATACAATAAGCTAAACAGTCCCTGTTCTGAAAGAGCACAAGAGTGATCCATGTGTGAACAGCCAGGTACTCTCTGAGCAACTGGTAAGACTTGAAAAAGAAAGGAAAACTAAAACAAAGGAAAACAAAGGAAAACAAAATCTCAGGAATTTGGAAACATTTTTTTCTAGTAGATGGGTAGTTGGAGAAGCTTCACCCTCCACCTCTCCCTTTGATTTGTTATGAATCATGGGAATTGAATGTTCAGATTGAGGTAGGCACCAAGTATTAAAGACCTCAGTTCAGTGCCAATTAAATTTTTCTCTGTGTGAGAACACATAATCCTAAATCTCACCATTTAAATGGATTGCCACAGTTCATTGTCCTGCATAAAAAACTTCACTAATGCTTTCCATTCTGCTCCTTAATCACATCTGAAATCGTGAGAGTTGCTCTGATTGCTGTATGTGTGAAATATAAATTGAGATGCAAACAGCATAATTATTCCTCTTGACATTGGTATTGTCTGATGGACTGAGTGTTATCACTGGTAAGGCAGAAGATAAGGACTAGTTTCCCTTCCCAGCCCCATGCTCATGGGTGAGACATGCATTGACATTAACCAAAGAAATATGGGACTATCTATTCCACCTGCCCTTGAGTGTTGTGTGTGTCATATTCTTTTCACCATCCCAGCTTTTTCTTGTTATTGCAGATATTATGAATAGGAAACCACAGATGGCCTGGAAGCTCTATCTGAAGATGGACACCTCAGGGGACTCCTTTAAACTATTGCAGCTCATTGCAAATGATTGTTACAAAGTGAGTTTTCTGTTTAGAGTTTGGTGTATGACATGCTAATTCAGTGGCTGTACCAACAGGTATTTTTTGACTACTTTTCATCATTGTCATCACTAGTAAACTTTCTTTTATTGTAGTCTAGAGGAGAAGCAGCTCCACACTTTGGATTAATCTAGAGCTCTTAAAAACTGCACTTACAGGTCTAAGTTTTTCAGCCTAATTATGTGTCTACATATGGCCATAAATGACTGCTCCAAAGACCAAGTAATTCCATTTAAAAACTGGTTATTATAGTGTTATAACTTGTCCTTCTCTACTAATAGCTGATTGTACCTCTTGCACTGAACAGCCAGGCCCATGTTGTTTGGATTCATGTGGCATTTTTCAGTTGTTTCTGAAATATTACATTATATTGGAAGTCCACAGACAGCACCAGGGATGTAACTTAAGAAGACAGTTGCACTAGGCTTTGCTCAACAGAAAGCAGACTGAGCATGGATGGAGCAAGGTCAACAGTACCCTGAGAGTAGGTGTAGCTGGATGCCCCATGTCTATGCTGATGGAATCTGTTCAGTGAGGAAGCTGGGATTCAGGACCTCTGGCTAATTTGATGCTTTTCATGCAATAGCCCATCTTGTTCATATAGGGAACAGCACATGACTTGGGGTGAAGCATTTCCTACTTTTATGTCAGATAGAAGGAGGACATTAAACCAGTACCTGTTTAATGGAACTAGATCAGATACTAATTCGGGTAGAGCAGTATTCAATTTTTTGGTTTTAGCTGACATAACTGATACTGTTTCTACTCACTATCTTTATTCCCATCCATTTAAGTGCTTGCCAGTCACCAGTGGTTAAAATCAACATTTATATGAAGGAAAGAGAATTATTACTCATTAGGTAGTACCTGTGTTTCTCTGACTGAAGTTTCCAAAAGCTCCCTCAGCCTACCTTTTTCTCCCTGCACATGCAGTCTTACAGCTATCAAAGGACAGGAGGTTGTGCTCAGTCTGCCTTCTGTGCTCTCTCATGGGAAGATGTTAGTCACAAACAACATTGCTATTCAGGCTCACCCAAGTGGAGAACACTCAGACATAGATACAGCCCACATGAATTATGCAGACTTCAAAAGTCATAGTTAATATGGTCACTCCTTTTGCACTGATTATTGCCAGCCAACTTGCTTCTGGTTCCTAATTACAGGTAGAGAACGTAAGGCAGAAAAGACAGGGTACACAGTGGATTTTCCTATGCTCAGGAAAATTTTGGATTATAGAGTCACTGAATCTTCTTTTGTATTGTACTGTAACAGTGAATAAAAAAAAGATCTCTAAGTTAAACCCAGAAGACATCCAAATATGTGACCATTCTATGCAAGGAAATGTGGTTCCATTTTCAAATGTTTGGACTAGTTTGAGGTTGATATTCTGTCAAGGGCTTTGGTATAATTGGTACAACACTAGATAAGGGCACCTCAAAAAGGATGTTATAATACCACCTGTTTCCCTAGGTAGAACTGAAACGTGACTCTTCTGTGTCACTTTCTGCCTGCAGAAAAACAGGAAAATGCACATTGCTTCTATGACTTACTGCTTGTTTCAGAAAACTGAGCTCAGCATTTTTAATCCCCTTTTGAAAGATGGTCATGCAGTCAGGAATAACATTTCACCTTCTGTGCAGATGCGTCAGTTTTACTATTCAGCCAAAGCGTTTGATGTTCTGGAGGGACAGGACAGTAATCCTGAATACTGGGAAGGCAAGAGAGGTGCTTGTGTGGGTGTCTTTCAGATGATCTTAGCTGGCCAAGAAACAAAGTGAGTATTCTGTGTTGTATCTGAATTTATTTTGCTCTTTTCCTATTTTCAGTTAGCAATAAGCCAGAATCCTAATCTTAGCTTTAGGACTACATATCCTTTTCCAGTTCTTTATTGTCCTTTCAGAGAACAGACTCTGGCCAGTGGTTCCATGTGCAGTCTTCAGTTTAAGACCTACCTCCCACGCCAACAATTACAGAATACATGGTGGAAAATAACTTATCAGCGAATGACATGAACTATAGGAAACCAAAACACATTAGTCATCACACTAGGAAAAGCTGGGTTATAAACATAGTAGTATGTCCAGGAACTGCAGAACAGCAACCTCATTTCATGTTGATGGCATAAGAATGGAAACTGTCACATGACATTTTAAGGTTCATAGAACAGAACTAAGGAAACATTTACTCAATGCAGTTGGAAGGACACGATTTCTCTGGACAATGAGTAGATGGCACTGTGTTTTCAGAGAAGACACTGTCCATGCCAGACAAATATACTTACTTGATGAAACCTTAAAGGAAATCATCTTTGTTACTGATAATTTTGCTTTCGGCCCATTGCACTGGATGGGTGAATGAGAGAGAGTAGTGAGGCTGTATTTGAGAACTGCTTCCTCGTGAGTATTCTGCTGTGATGCCAGATGGCCATTGTCCTCTGGCCAAAGTTGCTGTTTCCTACGTGACTGGTAGGTGTGTATCTTGGCATCTACACCTTCCTTCTATTCACTTCTCTGCTGGAATAATCTCCTTAACTACTGCACCTTTCGAGTGTCCTTTTAGCAATCACTGCAGCAGATGTAGTAAAATACACGAAGCTTGCCTGTTTTTCAAAATATGCAAACAAGTTCTTGCTATAAACCAGCAGGCAAATTGCAGCAGGATATTGGTTTATCCTATTGGTAATGTTGATTTCCAGGTTATTTGTGTTTGTGTGTAAGGTGCTTTGGCAGCACTAAGCTAGGTGTTGCCATACTGAAGACTAGCAAAGAACATTAAAGAACACTGTTTGTTCTAGGGAGCTATTTTGCAAGAGTAATAATTTATATATAGAGACATGCACATGTGTACACTAAATTCTAATTCCATTTTGCTGTTTTGGGGGGGTTTTTTACTTTTAATTTCTTGTTACAATTATGTACAAGACTTTTTTATTTCATAGGTGGGTCTTTGGGATCTCATCTACTGTGCATTATAACCCACTCCTGCACTGCAGAATCTCTCTGTCTAGGAGGAATCTTGTTTTCTAAAATCATAGAATTGTAGAATCATAGA